AAGACACAAGACGTCGAATGCGCAATCTTTTGGGTATTCACAACGAAGGAGGAGGGGGAAAGTATCTAGGCCTCCCAGAACAATTTGATAAAAAGAAATCAGAATTGTTCCAATACATAGTGGAAAAAGTGAAGGAGAAAACTCAAGGGTGGAGCAAAAAATATCTTTCACAAGGAGGTAAAGAGGTTCTACTGAAGGCTGTTGCGTTAGCAATGCCTCTTTACTCGATGAATGTCTTCAAATTAACAAAAGAAATCTGCGAGGAGATCAACAGCGTCTTAGCTAACTTCTGGTGGGGTTCCGGAAATGAGAAAAAAGGTATGCATTGGTTCGCCTGGAATCGCCTAGGTATTCCCAAGAAGGAGGGAGGGCTTGGTTTTAGAGATCTTGAAAATTTTAACTTGGCGCTTCTTGGTAAACAAACTTGGCGTATTCTTCATCATCCGAACTGTCTCATGGCAAGGGTTCTAAAAGGTCGATACTTCCATGAGACAAATATTCTAAACGCCGTCCAAGGTAGGAAAGCTTCATTCATTTGGAAGTCAATCCTTCAAGGTCGCGACTTGCTGAAAAAAGGTCTTCGTTTTTGCATTGGGAATGGAAATTTGGTTCACGCTTGGCTGGATCCTTGGGTGCCTACCCATCCGCCTAGAGCACCAAATAAAAGAGAAGGAACTCCAAGTCAGGTGCTGGTTAAAGATATGATGAATGTAGCTAAAACGGACTGGGACGCTACAAAACTACATGCTTGGGTAGACCTTGAGGATATAACGATAATTCAGAAAATAAAGATTTGTGCAATAGCGGAACGGGATTTGCTAGGTTGGCACTATACCAAGAATGGCATCTACTCCGTTAAATCAGCCTACTGGTTTGCTACTCATCAACACGACAATCAACAGCCTCTCTCACCACCAGGGAATATTAGACTAAAACAGTTGCTTTGGAAAACAAAAACTTCCCCGAAACTACAACACTTCTGTTGGCGTCTCCTTTCAAATTCACTCCCAACTGGCGAAAATCTGAGGTATAGACATATTTCTAACTATGTTACATGTATAAGATGTTGCAGAGAAGATGAAACCACCAATCATCTATTCTTTGGGTGTGAATATGCGCAAGCAATTTGGAGAGCGTCGGGTATCCCAAACCCAATTCTTGTGGACTCCTCGGTCTCTTGGGAGGATAAACTTCAAGCCATATTTTAGCTTAATACTTCGACACAAACTCCGCATTTAAGTCAGCTGCCTTTCTGGATCCTGTGGCGCATTTGGAAAAGCCGCAACTCTCTTGTTTTTCAACAACACCATGTTCATGAGGACCAACTTAGAATACGCGCAGAGAGATGCCAAGGAATGGCATGAAGCTAAATCCTTTTTCCATCACTCAAATTGCCAGCATCAACAATCTTCACATTCTGTTCCCGCAAACCGAAACCATGTTCATCGTTGGACTACTCCACCAGTAGGCTTCATCAAGTGTAACTACGACGGGTCTTACGTCAGAGATCTCACGTTCAAAGGGGGCTGGATATTAAGAAGCGACTTTGGTAGATTCCTTGGGGCAGGCCAGGCTGTTGGTAAAGTCACAAACAACCCTCTAGAAAGTGAGTTTCAAGCGCTCACCATGGCAATGCAAAGCTGCTGGAGTAAAGGATATAAGAAGGTGTATTTTGAGGGAGATAACAAAGAAGTAGTAGCGATCATAAATGGAAAGCAATCCAACTTTGCAGCTTTCAACTGGATGAGAGATATTCGCTATTGGAAAAACAAGTTTGATGAATGCTACTTCGTTTGGACGAACCGACAATGTAACAAGGCTGCGGATATTCTTGCTAAAGCTTACCTGCCTAGGGATTCTTATTCTCATTTTCATTCTTGCATTTCTTCTGTAATAGCAAACACACTACTTGATGACTCTGTTCTTTGATTTAATAAAAGCAGATGTTAAAAAAAAAAATAGCAATCTCATTAAATACCTTTTACACCTCTGAACGGTTGCGTCTTTTTAACGTAACTTTTCGTTTAAATATTTACGGTTATTTTTTTCGGTTGTGTCTTTTTATCGCATTTTTTCGTTGAAATATTCACGGTTATTTTTTACGGTTGTGTCTTTTTATCGTATCTCTTCGTTAACATATTTACGGTTTTTTTTACAGTTATATTTGTTCAATTACAGTCGTATCTTTTCAATTTACATTTTTATCTTCATAGTTGCATCTATTCATTTAAAGTTACGTCTCATATTATATAGATTAAAATTTTGCTTTTTTAACTAAAATATATATTTTACGGTTGCTTTTTTTATAAAAGTTACAATCTGAATAAATATTTTCTACAGTTGCATCTTTTTATCGTAACACCCTATAAACAATTGCGATTGTTTAGTTGAACCATTGCAACATTTACTTTATTTAACGAACAATTGTAATTTTTGATTTATTTTATAAATTGGTTAAACATTTAATTTTTTAAAACTAAAAATATATATTTTACGGTTGAATTTTTTAGAAAGTTGCGATCCGAATAAATGTCTTCTACGGTTGCAATATTTAGTTTATTTTACGAACATATGCAGCTCTTAGTTTATATTATAAACAGTTATAACATTTAATTATCTACAAGCACTTCTTTCAATGTAACTTTTTATAATCTATTATTTCAATTTTAGTTACTAAAATGTATTTAAATAATATTGTAACTGTATAATTGAACCGTAACAACATTTGGTTTATTTGACAAATTATTGCAATTTTTGATTTTGTTTTATGAACCGTTATAATCTTTAATTTATTTGACGAACCATTGCAATATTTAGTATATTTGACAAACGATTGCAACTTTTATTATATGATATCTACGGTCGCGTCTTTTGGTTATAGTTCTTCATCAAATTTTTAATTTTAATTACTATTTAAATGAATATGTTGCTACTGTTTAATAGAACATAGTAAGATTTGGTTTATTTGACGAACCAATGAACAATTTGTCTTATTTGATGAAACGTTGTAACTTTTGGTTTATTTAATGAACCGTTACAATATTTGATATGTTTGATGAACTATTGTAACTTTAGTTTATTCGATGAATTATTACAACTTTACGTATATTTGATAAACCGTTGCAACATTGCCTTTTGTAATACATTTTTTAGAGCATTAACTAAAGTTTTTTTTTTTTTGAACAAAACATTAACTAAAGTTATACCTATTCATTTAGAGTATTATCTTTTCACCATGTTTTATTCGTGTTTTTCATCACAAACACTTGGTTCCAATAATTGTGTCTTTTATAAACATTTTTTTCTATTTAAACTTTCATGTCTTTTATAAACACTTTACGTATATTTGATGAACCGTTGCAACATTGCCTTTTGTAATACATTTTTTAGAGCATAAATAAAGCTTTTTTTTTTAACAAAACATTAACTAAAGTTATACATGTTCATTTAGAGTATTATCTTTTCACCATGTTTTATTCGTGTTTTTCATCACAAACACTTGGTTCCAATAATTGTGTCTTTTATAAACATTTTTTTCTATTTAAACTTTCATGTCTTTTTAACTCTCTCTCTCTCTCTCTCTCTCTCTCTCTCTCTCTCTCTCTCTCTCTCTCTCTCTCTCTCTCTCTCTCTCTCTCTCTCTCTATATATATATATATATATATATATATATATATATATTAAGTGGTGTAAATTTTTTATTTCTTTTTGTTTGATATTTTTCATAGAAAGTTACATTTTTTGCTATTTAACATTCATGTGTATACTTTGTTATCTATATCATTATTATTTTTTCCTAAATAATTATCTATTTTGGTTATTTGTTAAAATTTTCCGAAGATTGTCTCTTTTTAATATAATACCATTTAAAATATTGCGTCTTTTATCGTAATATTTTGTTGAATATATTTATATAGTTATATTTATAATAGTTTAGAAAATTGGAAAATTTTATCTACTCATTATAACTTTTTCTTTATTTTTTTTTATTTATGATCGCATCTTTTCAAAATGCAAAAAAGCGGGGCGGGTACGGGTTGGTTTTATAAATTGCGGGTTTTTACGGGTAAACCGCGGGCTTTTCAAAAAAATAAAATATATAATTATATATAAATTTATCTAATATATAGTTGTAAAATATTAAAATAATTCGTAATATATATAAAATAATTAAAAAAAGTTAATTTTTTCTTAAAAATATATGTATTTATATTTAAAATTATTATTAATTAGGTTTTTGTTTTAAATATAATTTAAAAATATTTAAAAAGTAAGTTTATAAAAGCCCGCGGGTTACCCGCGGCTCCCGCGAAATTAAGCGGAGCGGATGCAGATCTAATATTTTCTCCCGCAGATTATGCGGGGCGGGTTTTTTGCGGGTCAAAAATTTTGAAACCCGCTGCGGGGCGGGTTTGACCCGCTTGACAGCTCTACTTTTTATCATAATGTTTTCTAGTAATAAGAAAAATCTTAAAAAATATTTTTTTAGGGTTTACGTCTCTTTATCATATTTTTTCTAAAAATATATATTTATTTATTGTTAAAAAAAAATTGTTTTGAAACTTGTTGCCTCAATTCATTATTACATTTCGTTTGATATTTTTTTTTAATAATTTTTTTGAAATCTTTTCCCCCGCGATGTCGCGGGGGCCTAAGTCCTAGTATAGGGAAATATGTGTTTAGTTTAATGTTGTCTTACATTTATAGTCCAATGACTTCAGTATCTATCTATCGGATGAAGCATTTCCGTTAATATTGAACTTATGTAGCAAAGATAATGTTTCACAATCTGAGGGTTAAATGCAAATTTTTTCACAAAACTAATGTTGAGAACACGACGTAGTAAAACGCAAGGCCTCACTTTTAAACCTTCTTTGCCATTTTTATTCCATGGACTCCAAGTTTTTTTGTTGTCGTACCCTCCTCCTTGTAGGATAACGATGCCACCGCTTGGTTCGATGAATGCACTCTTCAAATCAGAATTTGGTAGAAAACGGACGGAACCATGTGAAACTCTCTGTTCATGTCTGTTCCATGCTCTTAGACCACAGATTCAAAGATCTAAGAGAAGTTGCAACTCTTTCATTTGATCTAAACACATACTAAAAAGAACAAAAACATCTTCACATCATCAACAAAGGCAACCGAAGAACTCAATGTAAGCTTAGAACAAGCAAGACTTTCAGACACCAATGTCTTTGGGTTAGAGTTAGAAGTATCTTTGGTGCAAAGAAGTTTTTTTTAGCCGCTCCATAGGAACTGTAGCGGCAACAACGAGCAAAAGACCTGTGGGTTCTGCACAAAAAAGGTTTCTTGTAGCGTACGTTGGTGACAGCCTTTTTTCAAGCTCTTCTTAGTAATTCTGAATAAGAGTTTAGGTTTAATCACCTGTTGGACGATACTTTGCTCACTGTAACTTCTAGGATCGAAGATTGATGATCGTCCGACGAAAAACCTATCTGTAATTAGATGAAAATTTGCAGATACAGAGAGCTTTCAAATTCCTCAACATTGTACAAAATCTATCAACATTTAGATTAGATTACCTTTTTGCTTCTCTCATTATGCTCTTGAATTGTGTAGTGACTGTGTCCATTACTTCACCACAGACTTCAGTTTCATCAAGGGTGTTTCAGAAATCACTTTTTGAAGATTCATCACAGGACCTCCGAGAGTTGGAATACCCCACATTCTTTTATCTTCCAATTCGGTTTGCCGAATTTGAACTCAAAGACAAGCTCGCTGGAAGTCACATCTGCTTCGACTTCAAATACGTACACATGCTCTGCTAAAACTGGATATAAATGATGCTCACTTTTTTTACAACTAACAGTGTAAAAGCCATTTCCATCCATCCAGTTTTCATCATCACGAGCCTCATCATCACCTTTATGAACCAGCAAAATGCAAGCCTTAAACCTCATGGATGTAGGAAGAGGCTTCTCGTTCAGCTTGATTGTCAAGGAACCTCCAGTAGTAGATTGGTGAGTGAAGTATGCAGGCACTTCTCTGCCGGGTAAGACCGCATATTTACTAGTCGGTGTCTGGATAATGAGGTCTCTGGCTTCTTGATTCAGTTTGAAGCACTTAGAAAATTTGAGCCAAATATTTGGATCCTGAAAGGAGCAATCTAGTCTCTCCAGGGACTCACAATCTTCTGCATCTATGTAAGAGAGGGAATCTGGAATCTGTTGGAGTGATACCAGCTTTTTGCATCCCTTGAGTATGAGTACTGTTAAACGAGAGAATTTGTTGACCCATGGGGGAAACTCTTGTATTTCTGTATTGGTCACTTGCAGCACTGTGATGATGTCAAAAGCATGAGGAAAGTTCTTGAGATTTTCACTGTATGACATATGCAACTTAGTGAGACGAGACCAAGATTTGATTGATGAAGGGACTTCTTCTATTGTGGTTCCTTTGAGATAGAGAAATTCAACGTTTGTGGAGATCTCAGGAAACCTTTTCAACAGCAAGCAATCAGTGAGATCAAGTAAGCAAAGAGATCCCAATTTGATGTTGGCTGGAAGATCTTCTAGCTTAGAGCATCCTCGTAAGGTCAACTTTTGCAACTTCTGAAGGTTTCCAATAGAAAAGGGGAGCTTTACCAGATTTGAGCATTGGTCAAGGTTTAAAACCTCAAGGTTGGTGGCATTTCCAATCCAGAAAGGGAGCTCCACTAGACATGATAAACTGCTAAGATCCAATTCTTTTAGATTGATGAGATTCCCAATAGAGGAAGGGAGCTCCACCAGACTTGATAAACTGCTAAGATGCAATTCTTTTAGATTGATGAGATTCCCAATAGAGGAAGGGAGCTCCACCAGACTTGATAAACTGCTAAGATGCAATTCTTTTAGATTGATGAGATTCCCAATAGAGGAAGGGAGCTCCACCAGACTTGATAAACTGCTAAGATGCAATTCTTTTAGATTGATGAGATTCCCAATAGAGGAAGGGAGCTCCACCAGACTTGATAAACTGCTAAGATGCAATTCTTTTAGATTGATGAGATTCCCAATAGAGGAAGGGAGCTCCACCAGACTTGATAAACTGCTAAGATCTAATAACTCGAGATTAGTGGCATTCCCAATAGAGGAAGGGAGATTCATCAGACTTGAGCAATAACGAAGATTCAATGTCCGAAGATTTTTGGTACACCCAATAGCGGAGGGGAGCTTCACCAGGCTGGAGCCACCACTCAGATTCAATTCCTGAAGATTGGTGGCAGTTGAGAGGTCAGGAAGCTCCTTTAAGAGGAGAGACGAACTCAAATCCATCCGCTTGAGATTTGGAAGCGGCTATACATACAAATAATAAGAACATGTATATACACTTAATTAGAAAACAGACTTCCATGCTATTAGTAATTAATTAAAATAAAATTGTACAAAAGATAAATTATTAATTTGAAATTAATAGATTATCTAAAAGAAATAAATCAACATTACTTACTTTAATTCCTTCCCACAACTTCTCAAGTTTGCTGTAAGGCATGACTAGTCCAACCAGCACCTCCGTGTTGAAAATAGGAGGCAAACATGTCATCGGAAAATAAGTCCAGTGTAGTAATCGAAGTTTACGAGATATATACTCTAAACCGTGCGGTAGATGTATTGTATTGTTATTCCCTTTGACTCTTAAGAATTGGAGATTAGACATTCCTTGAAAGGCTCTCTCACTTATATGTAACTTTTCCTTGATCCTATCCTCACCAAAGTTGAAATTTATGCCCATAACACTTCTACTACCCTGAAAAACATAACATAAATAATATGAAATGGTCACTTATTAAATCAACACGATTTGTGGAGAGAAATGTCAAAACTTACGTTCGCATCAAGATTGAGTACTTCACAAATTTCTCGTGCATCAACCAAAAATAGGCGTTGTCCAGGCTCACGAATAGACTGTTTACGGACAATATCTCTACCTAGTTTGACTAGCAAATCATGCATGTTTATACATCCCCTATTCAAAGATATGAGAGATTTCTCAGCTAAGACATTAAGCCGATGACTCACATCCAAGAACGTCTCTGCAAGATACTCTTCCACTTTCACAATCCATTCATGATTGAACAAGCAAGCTATATGAAGAAACAAATATTTGTCTTCGTCATCTAAGGCATCATAGCTGAACTTCAAAATGCTAAGAATATCAGCGTCAAGGCTACTCCTTAACTTTGGTAGTGCTTTCGTCCACTCCAGCTTAGACATTCCTCGAAAATATGAGCCTATAACCCTAAGACACAAAGGAAGTTCACCAGCAAGTTGTGTAACTTCCCGAGCCAGTTCTTCAAAACCATGTTTAGGGGAGTTTTGACCAAAAGCATATGTGCACAAGATTTGAAGGGCTCATCAGTTGATGGAAAATCCACCTTGTAAATATGTTTAATCCCATGTCCCCTAAAAATCATTCGATTTTGTGTTGTGATGATAATCCGACTCCCAGGACCAAACCACCAAGTTTCTTTTGCCATGGCATCTAGTTGCATTGACTTGTCCACACCATCAAGAACAACAAGAACTTTCTTGTCTTTTAGCCTATCTTGAACAACACCTAAATGAGAAATCTTCATATCACTCTGGTTGGTTATTTGAGACATAAACTGCTGTTGTAACTGCAACTTGGCACTATAGTCATCGGAACATGGTCTTGTATATTTTGCTTCGATAGATTCCATAAAGACACTCAGTTGGAAACTGTTGGAGAGTTTGTTGTATACAACTCTAGCAATGGTCGTCTTTCCAATCCCAGAAGGACCCCAAATCCCAATCATCCTCACTTCATCTGAGCCTAGGCATAACAATGGTTCCATCTTCTTCAAATGAGCAGTCATCCCAACCAACCCATCAAAATCACTTGATGAGGCAGAATTATTCAACTTGTTGGATATATCAGTAGCGATATTTCTAATCATGGTCGCTTCATTATCCCTAACAACAAAGAAGATCATCACTACATCCATTAAATACTTATAGAAAATTCACACACATCAAAAAAAAAACTTTAAGTTCAATGGATATTTAAAAAAAGCTAGAAATGTAAATAGTTTGATGTTTGTTATGAAGATAAAGAGATTCAAATGGAAATAGAAAACAACGAACCAGTTGGTCGAATGGTAACCGGCGATTGTGGCGACATTTGCCAAAGCTTGTCTCCATCTCCCAACGTGCTCTTTTGTTTTACCGGCACATGTTTTTTTGAAGACTTTTCCAAAATCTCCGGTCAGCTTCTTTACATCAGATGGATCCACTTTATAGAAAACAGCCAAAACTGTTTGACCCAATTCTTCCCTGCACTTCATAATCTCCGCCAATTCGTCAAGACACCAGCTCGAAGAAGCGTAGTTTCTTGACAGCAAGATAATTGCGATCTTGGATTCTCTAATTGCTCGAATGAGTTCAGGACCGATGGATTGTCCTCTCTCGATCTCATTATCAATGAATGGTGTGATTCCCATTCTTTGAAACTCCATCTGAATGTGACTAAGAAAGTCTCTACGGACATCTTCCCCTCGAAAACTTGGAAACACATGGTGTGTCCAGATGCGATCCAAAGACGATGGAGGAGACAAAGACGATGAAGAAGACGGAGGTGATGAAGTAGAAGAAGAAGAATTATTTTCTTTGTCATCTTCTTGATGGCATCTGAGATTTCTAAGAAGCGTGAAGAAGCCTATTGCAGCAGCAACAGTGGTAAGGATAAAAGAAGAAGAAGAATCCATTAGTTAGTATATATTATTGGAGAGAGGATTAATAATATCAGAGAGCTTTAAAGAGAGCTATGCGGATGAAGAAGTTGCAAAACAGACTTATACTAAACAAAGAAGGTTGACTCCATTGACCGAGAAAGTGAGAATATTTTGAAACTGTACTAGCAAACAAGAGGATTAGCTTTGGTATAGAATGCTTCTTTAGAAAAATGAGATCCACTAACAAAAGATAAAGTTGAAGAAAATCTAAAATATGAAAACAGATAACTAGAAAAAATCAAACGTATAAAGCAAGCAATAAGCATCGAGTTTTAATACATATATACATGCCAATTCTACAACATTTATAGTTTTATTTCCTAAATATAAGTCATGAATATATATTAACAAAGAAACTATACTATCAAAAATAGAGGTTTTAGCTTCTTGTTTTCTTTCATGTACCTAATTCCTAGCTATTTTCCTCGCAGACGTCAATAATTGGTCCTACAATAGACAAAGGAAGCTTCGTCCAAAGAAAAAAGAAAAAGAACAGTATCAAGTTTCAATACAAACATGGTAACTAAAGACATGATTTTTTGTGAACAAGTCATGAAATGTTGAAATTCTGAATCTAAAAGAAGCAAATTAGCAACTGAAATCCGAATCTATGATGCAAATCAGAAATGGGAAACACAAGGAAGCAGTGACTAAAATCAATGTCTCTATCAAAAATCTAAAATTTATAGAAAAGATGTGAAAATACTTACATCGAGTTTTGATATAGAGATGCCAAATCTCCAACATTTATAATGGCTATGATTGGTCACAAAATTTAAAGCTGTACAAAGCTGTTGTTACCAATCAAGATAAATTTATCAAAAGCGGTACATAATAACAAAAACAAGTTTTTTTTTAGACAAAAACAAAAACAGTTTAAAATAATAAAAACTATACTCCCTCTGTTCCTAGTTATTTGATGTTTTGAGTTTTTTACTTGTTCAGCCAAGATTGATGTTTTGTAAAAACATCATCATTGTTTTTGTTTGCGACTAATAGATAAAGGTGAGAAGTACTAACATTATTAAACTAACAAAATAATAATTAAAAAAATTTTAAATTACTTTTTCTTAAATTGTGTGTAAAACTCAAAATATCATTCTTTGAGAAAGTGAGGGTGTATCAAATTAAAATTATCTCTCTACAATTTTCTAGGTATGACCACGGTTACGGTTATTACGATTACGGTTAATTAATCACCGGTTACGATTATAAACTTTTTTAACCGTAACTTTAACCATTATATATACGGTTAAATATGGTTACAGTTACAACGGTTACGGTTAAATACGGTTACGTTTATTTGATGATTACGATACGGCTAATATCAGAGGCGAAATCTTACGAGTTACCTAATTTTTTATATTACTTTTAAAAAGATGAAAAAGTATGCTATAAACCAAATTTTCTTGAGTTCGAGCAATATAACATTACAACATATTTGTTTGAGAAATTACTAGTAAAAACAGAGCTCATTTTTATCTTATGAAATTTTCATCAAATTTCAAAGAAAATTCAAATCTGTATCATTTAGGTTTCTCATAAGAAAAGTCTCCTTTTATTTACAAGATTTTTAATATATCTTTTTCTTTTTCTCATAACAGATATCAAATTTTTTTTTAACCATCTATTACATTATCATTATAGATATTTGAGCTTATCCTATTACGATGATAATCAATTACCTACGGCATATACAATTATGATGAACAGCTCCCACAAACAATGATTCCACATTTCAGTTCTCCGTGCAACATTCGAATATACAATTATGATGAACAGCTCCCACGAACAATGATTCCACATTTCAGTTCTCCGTGCAACATTCGAATCTCTAATGAACCGTTTTGCATGTACGACATCCCCACTAACCGATTAACAAGTTAACGATTAACAAGTTAATGGGCAACTTTTCCAATCGAAATTACTTTATCAATGTGGCCATGATTCCTTTCAAGTAATGTAAAACCCTGGTTTCAAGAATGTGGTGTTAAAAGAGTTGATTTGACCATCTATGTCACCAAAGTGCACTTATCTTTTCGGTCAACTGCCCTGAGAGAACTCCACAGTTAAGCGTGCAATTTCAGTATGGGTGACCTTCTAGGAAGTGATTGTCGAAACTGTGTGAGTGAGGACAAAACACAAGAAAAGATCATGTGGTGATTTGTAGGAACGGTAAACAAGTCTTTAAAGCCTCCTGGACGTAGCGGACCGGCCGAGAGAGAACGTGGACCCATTAAGAGAGGTGTGACGGTCAGGGCATTTGAAGTAATGTTGAAAGCTATTCGCATAAACAAGGAAAACATTTGTATCAGGTAGACCAAATACCGAGTGATTAGGAAGTAGTATAAATAGTTATTCGGAAAAAAAAAATACAAAGTTCTGATTTATATATATATATTTTTTTGGTAGTAGTTCTGATTTATATTTTGTTGTAATCATCATATTTTTGGATGAGTTGCGTTTTTAAATATTGTAGATTTATATTTGATATGAGTCAAATTAACCTAAGACTACTCTGTCAAATAAAGAGATCATGTATAGCATTTTAGGGTCGAATTCCACAAAGCTCTCGTTGTTCACACAATAGACTAACATGTTTTGAATTAAGCTAAACAGAAAATTAAGTAAATTAAAATACAAAAAAAAACCTTTAAAAATAAGTTGTAAAACAGATAGATGAAACGTTAGGCTAAGGGATTTCTCAGGAAATATTAGAATAGTAGATCTAGCAATTAGTTAGGAATTATTAAAGAACCGTTCTTAAAACTCAAATAAAAAAAAAAAAAACTATAATCAACCAACTCTCGTCTGAATTGACTATCTATGCTTAATAGCAGAACTTCCAACTCTCGTCTGTAAATCCCTAAAACTAAGAAAGCATTAAGATCAGGTTCGATATGTTCACAAAAGTATCTAGACCAACTCTCGTCTGTATCTAACTACTTCTGCCCACCTAAGATAGTTCTAGTAATAAGCGCACTCTCGTGTCTAACCTATTATCCTAAGATCAAGTTCTAGTTAATTACTCTAGAACTAGCATTAAAAACAATCAAAGATGAAAAACTCTAGAGATTTATTTTACTAACAGGTTATCGATCTACTAATTCATCCAAATCCCTATTGAGAATCCCTAAACCAAACAAGAGGACTACTCAGACATGATTATCGAAGAACAAAACATGTTTTAAAGTAGGAATCTTGTAAGAAAACAAGAAGAGAATAGAGTGTTGAAGAATCTTCTCTAGAGGGAGCTCCACAGGGTTTACGTCCAAGAACAAAATAAAAATAAAGCTTAGGTCTAAACAATGACCTTAAGAATATATTTATACTGAAAATTACCTAGTTTGACCCAAATCTAGAGTAAAATAACTAGATTAACACCCAAATATTGTGGTTTACTAGAATAACACAATTTTTGTGTTAAAAGACCAAATACCCATTTTATTTTCAATTCTAATAAAATAATATAATTAACATAATAATTAAATTAAATAGAAAATTAAAAAATACAAAATCAAAAATTATATAACGAAAAAACGAAAATTGAGAAAAAAACGGAAAAAAAATACAAAACAAACAAAATATATATAAATTGAAAAAACATTAAAAATAAATAACGAAAAAAGACAAATACCTATTTTATTTTCAATTCAATTAAAATAAAATAATTAACATATAATAACTAAATTAAATAGAAAATTAGAAGAAAAATAATACAAAACAAAAATAAATTTTAAAAAAACGAAAAAAATATAAAACGAAAAATACAAATATATATATATATATATATATATATATATATATATATATATATATTAAAAAGAAAAAAATATCCAAATCCCTATTGAGAATCCCTAAACCAAACAAGAGGACTACTCAGACATGATTATCGAAGAACAAAACATGTTTTAAAGTAGGAATCTTGCAAGAAAACAAGAAGAGAATAGAGTTTTGAAGAATTTTCTCTGGAGGGAGCTCCACAGGGTTTACGTCCAAGAACAAAATAAAAATAAAGCTTAGGTCTAAACAATGACCTTAAGAATATATTTATATTGTCTTAAAAACGTGTAGAGACTTCTTTGAAAAAAGAGAAAATTTTTGGGATGATTCTGCAAATATTCAAAACTTCAAAAACACACGAGATCGAATTGCAGTTAGATATTGGTGTCGATCGACACATACACCAAGATTGGTCTCCGGACTGCTCTTGTATCATCATAACATCTCGTTTTTGCTCTAGAATGATCCATATTCTCCAAATTGGTCCCGTGCATGCATAAACCTGAAAAACACTAGAAAAGACTCTAGAAATAACAAAAATACTCTAATAATAATACCTATATCATGTTTAAAAAACCGTAAAAACCATGATATATCAATATTATTAGGGGAGATTTTAATTCATTTGATTAATTATCATGAAATACAACAAGTCATTTATATTAGGGTTTCGTGCAAAACCCTTCAAAGTCGCCAATTTTTGCAACTTTACCTTCAACCTCTAAAAAATGTAGAATAATCATATGAAGTAAAAAATAATACGCATTATAACCCCTTTTCGCTATTCTCAAGTTTTTAAAATTTTGATAAATAATATATCAAATTGAAGCCCTCGAAATGAGGAGTTCAACTCTACCCTTAAAATTTGAAAAACCAAATTTATGTGATTGTGAAAACGTTTACAATATATTTATAAGGGATATATTGCGTATTATTTTTGACTTCATATGATTATTCTGCATTCTTCGGAGGTAGAGGATAAAGTTACAAAAATTGATGATTTTGAGAGTGTTTTTGTACAAAACCTTTTATATTAATACCTTTGTTGCATCATCATCTCTTTTCAAATCTACGTAATACATTTTTAGATTTTTCATTTATGATTAAATCATCTTTCATTCCTTAAAGTTGATTTGTATAATTAAAAAAAAATTATGAAAAAAGAAAATTACGCAAAAATATATTTTAAAAAATTATCAACTCTTCTAGATCTTTCATATATTTGCAAAGTTAACTTTCAATTACAAGATAAATAGGCTAAAAGTGAGAAAGGTAAAAATAAATTATTTGCTCCTTTTATAGTCGTTTTTTCTATAAATTTTTTTTTTGGTAATATAATAGATTTTTTACTTCATCTCGAATCTCGATAATGTGCTTATTTAGCTTAGATATCTATTATTTTTTTGGTAAATTACTTACTCAGATTTCTTATAAATGCATATTAATCTTTTGGTTTCACTGAAGCTTTTTTCGTTTTGGTTTTAATGCAATCGATTTGGTATGGTACGGTGGATTTGGTTTGGTAGACTATCCTCTCACACCAAAATGAATCTTTTTTTTTATCACTCTCTCTCTCTCCCTCTGTTTTAAAATGACTCTTTTGGTTTTGGACTCTCTTCGTTTTTCGTATTAGAGTGTGAAGAAGCTGAAAATCCAAAATCTGATTTTTAAATTTGGTTGTAAATTTGCTAGGCTATATTCAAACCTCCTAAATCAATGCGTGGAAGGATTCAGATTTGTTATCCTCAGGTATAATTTACTAGTAGAGCTCACTGATATCTTTTCTTGATCACTTTGTAATTGAATTTTGTGTGTGTGTGTTTGTGAAGTTTGGTGATTTTACGATTTTGGGATTATCGGGTTTAATGGGTCTAATAATTGGGTTGGTTTCTGGGTAAATCCGGTTTAATTTCGATGTTAAGCGGTTAATCGGGTTCGGCACAGTAAACCGAAGATAAACCACGAAATTTGAAATTATGGAGACTGAGGTCTCGAACTTTCAATTTAGGGGGAAACTGGAGTTTAACTTTCGTTTTGTGTGGACTGGAGACGAGACCCGAAATCTGTGTTGTTATGGTACTATATGAAACTTACTGGGGGGACACAGGTCGTTCACCCATTTAGCTTAGATATCTTTTATTTTTTTGGTAAATTACTTACTTAGATTTCTTTTTTTTTTTTTTTTTTTTTTTTTTGACACCACTCAGATTTCTTATAAATGCATATTAATCTTCTGGTTTCACTGAAGCTTTTTTCGTTTTGGTTTTAATGCAATCAATTTAGTATGGTACGGTGGATTTGGTAGACTTATCCATTGTTGAAGAAACAATTGAGACGATACAGCTATTCCTCTCACACCAAAATGAATCTTTTTTTTTTTTATCACTCTCTCTCTCCCTCTGTTTTAAAATGACTCTTTTGGTTTTGGACTCTCTTCGTTTTTCGTATTAGAGTGTTGGTATCATCTAATACTATGGAGTTGGTTCCCCGTATTGCATGATTTTGATTACAAAAGCCTCATACATTTCAAGGTTTAGTGTTTTCTAAGGCCACTAATCACTCGGATTTGTGTCAGGTGAAATGGATAGTTACTGGAGATTGAAAAACTTGGTTAGTATACTCCGTTGAGTCGACAAGCATCAGTATACTCATTGACAGTAGATTAGTTTCAGACCTGCTTAGTGCTTAGGAGAATATATCTAGAGCTGAAGAAAAACAAGAGGGTTTGCAGAGGCAAGGCTCGGATACTTAGCCAAAAAACTGTTGATGGAGTTTTTTACCTATCTGTTCATGTCTGTTCCATGATCTTAGGCCATAGACTGAGAGAAGTTTCAACTCCTTTATTTGAACTATCTATACATCCCAAACAGAACAACATCTTCATGTCAGTAACAAAAAGCAATCAAAGAACTTTATAAAAAGCTTTAAAAATCTATACTTTCATAACACTTGACTTAGAGTTATCATTGGTGCAAAGAAGGTTTTTGGTCGTTCCATAACGGCTGCAGCGGCAGCAACGAGCAAAAGACCTGAGGAGGAAGAAGATAACCGATGCCACCGCTGGGTTCGATGCTCTTAGAACACAGATTTCAAAGATCTAAGAGAAGTTTCAAGTCTTTCGTTTGATCTAAACACATCCCAAAAAGAACAAAAACATCTTCACATCATCAACAAAGGCAATCAAAGAACTCAATATAAGCATAAAAAATTAAGACTTTCAGACCATAGGAGCAGTAGTATCTTTGGTGCAAAGAAGTTTTTTTCTTAGCCGCTCCATAGGAGCTGTAGCGGCAACAACGAGTAAAAGACCTGTGGGTTCTGCACAAAAAAAGTTCAGCAGCAACAGGTAACACTGTTGAATTTAGATCTCGTAAATTAGTGTACGTTGGTGACAGCCTGAAGAAACAATGATCTACATGTATCACACTCACACGGACAAGCCTTTTTTGAAGCTCTTCTAAGTAATTCTGTATAAGAGTTCAAGTTTAATCACCTGATGGGCGGCTTGACGATACTTTGCTCACCGTAATTGCTCACCGTCCGACGAAAAACCTAACTGTAATTAGATGAAAAGTTTTTAATCTTTATTGTTGAAAGAGTTATAAGTTTGTTACAGGAGATAAAACAAAAAACAAAAATCGATGTGAGTGTCAGTTTTGTGTAATAATCATCGAATCAAACAAAAAGTCCTAAAAAATTCCCCACATTTGTTCATGTGATGAAATTACAGTACACTGTTAAAATTCAAATTGTTTTTCATTTTATTACAGATGATTTAAATAGTTGAAAAGATATTTAATAGTAATCGAGGATTAAAGAAGATAAAGAAGAACTGAAGTTGCAGATACACATCACCTTATGTGGCCCAATGAAGTAAAGTAAAATATCAATCCTCATACAAGAGATTAAAATTTCAGATACAGAGAGCTTTCAAATTCCTCAACATTGTACAAAATCTATCAACATTTAGATTAGATTACCTTTTTGCTTCTCTCATTATGCTCTTGAATTGTGTAGTGACTATTTCCATTACTTCACCACAGACTTCAGTTTCATCAAGGGTGTTTCAGAAATCACTTTTTGAAGATTCATCAAGGAACCTCTGAGAGTTGGAATACCCCACATTCTTTTATCTTCCATTTCTTATTTTTACTGTCGATCTTGAACTCAAAGACAAGCTCGCTGGAAGTCACATCTGCTTCGACTTCAAATACGTACATATGCTCTGCTAAAACTGGATATAAATAATGCTTACTTTTTTTACAACTAACATAGCAGCCATTTTCATCCATCCAGTTTTTATCATCACGAGCCTCATCATCACCTTTATGAACCAGCAAAATGCAAGCCTTAAACCGCATGGATGTAGGAAGAGGCTTCTCGTTCAGCTTGATTGTCAAGGAACCTCCAGTAGTAGATTGGTGAGTGAAGTATGCAGGCACTTCTCTGCCGGGTAAGACCGCATATTCACTAGTTGGTGTCTGGATGATGAGGTCTCTGGCTTCTTGATTCAGTTTGAAGCACTTAGCAAATTTGAGGCAAATATTTGGATTGTGAAAGGAGCAATCTAGTCTCTCCAGGGACTCACAATCTTCTGCATCTATGTGAGAGATGGAATCTGGAATCTGTAGGAGTGATACTAGACATGATAAACTGCTAAGATTCAATACTTTTAGATTGATGAGATTCCCAATAGAAAAAGGGAGCTCCACCAGACTTGAGCATCCATCGAGATATAACTTTCGGAGATTTTTGGTATACCCAATAGTGGAGGGGAGCTTCACCAGGCTGGAGCAACCACTCAGATTCAATTCCTGAAGATTGGTGGCAGTTGAGAGGTCAGGAAGCTCCTTTAAGAGGAGAGACCAACACAAATCCATCCACTTGAGATTTGGAAGCGGCTATACATACAAATAATAAGAACATGTATATACACTTAATTAGAAAACAGACTTCCATGCTATTAGTAATTAATTAAAATAAAATTGTACAAAAGATAAATTATTAATTTGAAATTAATAAAATATCTAAAAGAAATAAATCAAAATTACTTACTTTAATTCCTTCCCACAACTTCTCAAGTTTGCTGTAACGCATGTGTAGTTCAACCAGGAACTCCGTGTTGAAAATAGGAGGCAAACATGTCATCGGAAAATAAGTCCAGTGTAGTAATCGAAGTTTACGAGATATATACTCTAAACCGTGCGGTAGATGTATTGTATTGTTATTCCCTTCGAATCTTAAGAATTGGAGATTAGACATTCCTTGAAAGGCTCTCTCACTTATATGTAACTTTTCCTTGATCCTATACTCACCAAAGTTGAAATTTATGCCCATAACACTTCTACTACCCTGAAAAACATAACATAAATAATATGAAATGGTCACTTATTAAATCAACACGATTTGTGGAGAGAAATGTCAAAACTTACGTTCGCATCAAGGTTGAGTACATCACAAATTTCTCGTGCATCAACCAAAAATAGTCGTTGTCCAGGCTCACGAATAGACTGTTTACGGACAATATCTCTACCTAGTTTGACTAGCAAATCATGCATGTTTATATATCCCCTATTCAAAGATATGAGCGATTTTTCAGCTAAGCCATTAAGCCGATGACTCACATCCAAGAACGTCTCTGCAAGATACTCTTCCACTTTCACAATCCATTCACGATTGAAGAAGCAAGCTATATGAAGAAACAAATATTTGTCTTCGTCATCTAAGGCATCATAGCTGAACTTCAAAATGCTAAGAATATCAGCGTCAAGGCTACTCCTTAACCTTGGTAGTGCTTTCGTCCACTCCAGCTTAGACATTCCTCGAAAATACGAGCCTATAACCCTAAGACACAAAGGAAGTTCACCAGCAAGTTGTGTAACTTCCCGAGCCAGTTCTTCAAAACCATGTTTAGGGGAGTTTTGACCAAAAGCATATGTGCACAAGATTTGAAGGGCCTCATCAGTTGATGGAAAATTCACCTTGTAAATATGGTTAATCCCATGTTCCCTAAAAATCTTTCGATTTTGTGTTGTGATGATAATCCGACTCCCAGGACCAAACCACCAAGTTTCTTTTGCCATGGCATCTAGTTGCATTGACTTGTCCACACCATCAAGAACAACAAGAACTTTCTTGTCTTTTAGCCTATCTTGAACAACACCTAAATGAGAAATCTTCATATCATTCTGGTTGGTTATTTGAGACATAAACTGCTGTTGTAACTGCAACTTGGCACAATAGTCATCGGAACATGGTCTTGTATATTTTGATTCGATAGATTCCATAAAGACACTCAGTTGAAAACTGCTAGAGAGTTTGTTGTATACAACTCTGGCGATGGTCGTCTTCCCAATCCCAGAAGGACCCCAAATCCCAATCATCCTCACTTCATCTGAGCCTAGGCATAACAATGGTTCCATCTTCTTCAAATGAGCAGTCATCCCAACCAACCCATCAAAATCACTTGATGAGGCAGAATTATTCAACTTGTTGGATATATCAGTAGCGATATTTCTAATCATGGTAGCTTCATTATCCCTAACAACAAAGAAGATCATCACTACATCCATTAAATACTTATAGAAAATTCACACACATCAAAAAAAAAACTTTAAGTTCAATGGATATTTAAAAAAAGCTAGAAATGTAAATAGTTTGATGTTTGTTATGAAGATAAAGAGATTCAAATGGAAATAGAAAACAACGAACCAGTTGGTCGAATGGTAACCGGCGATTGTGGCGACATTTGCCAAAGCTTGTCTCCATCTCCCAACGTGCTCTTTTGTTTTACCGGCACATGTTTTTTTGAAGACTTTTCCAAAATCTCCGGTCAGCTTCTTTACATCAGATGGATCCACTTTATAGAAAACAGCCAAAACTGTTTGACCCAATTCTTCCCTGCACTTCATAATCTCCGCCAATTCGTCAAGACACCAGCTCGAAGAAGCGTAGTTTCTTGACAGCAAGATAATTGCGATCTTGGATTCTCTAATTGCTCGAATGAGTTCAGGACCGATGGATTGTCCTCTCTCGATCTCATTATCAATGAATGGTGTGATTCCCATTCTTTGAAACTCCATCTGAATGTGACTAAGAAAGTCTCTACGGACATCTTCCCCTCGAAAACTTGGAAACACATGGTGTGTCCAGATGCGATCCAAAGACGATGGAGGAGACAAAGACGATGAAGAAGACGGAGGTGATGAAGTAGAAGAAGAAGAATTATTTTCTTTGTCATCTTCTTGATGGCATCTGAGATTTCTAAGAAGCGTGAAGAAGCCTATTGCAGCAGCAACAGTGGTAAGGATAAAAGAAGAAGAAGAATCCATTAGTTAGTATTATTGGAGAGAGGATTAATAATATCAGAGAGCTTTAAAGAGAGCTATGCGGATGAAGAAGTTGCAAAACAGACTTATACTAAACAAAGAAGGTTGACTCCATTGACCGAGAAAGTGAGAATATGTTGAAACTGTACTAGCAAACAAGAGGATTAGCTTTGGTATAGAATGCTTAATTCTTTAGAAAAATGAGATCCACTAACAAAAGATAAAGTTGAAGAAAATCTAAAATATGAATACAGATAACTAGAAAAAATCAAACGTATAAAGCAAGCAATAAGCATCGAGTTTTAATACATATATACATGCCAATTCTACAACATTTATAGTTTTATTTCCTAAATATAAGTCATGAATATATATTAACAAAGAAACTATACTATCAAAAATAGAGGTTTTAGCTTCTTGTTTTCTTTCATGTACCTAATTCCTAGCTATTTTCCTCGCAGACGTCAATAATTGGTCCTACAATAGACAAAGGAAGCTTCGTCCAAAGAAAAAAGAAAAAGAACAGTATCAAGTTTCAATACAAACATGGTATCCAAAGACATGATTTTTTGAACAAGTCATGAAAATAGTTTGTTGAAATTCTGCATCTAAGAAGAAAATTAGCAACTGAAATCCGAATCTATGATGCAAATCAGAAATGGGAAACACAAGGAAGCAGTGACTAAAATCAATGTCTCTATCAAAAATCTAAAATTTATAGAAAATATGTGAAAATACTTACATCGAGTTTTGATATAGAGATGCCAATTCTCCAACATTTATATTAGTTGTGTCTTTTATAATAGTTGTATCTATTTAAATGTTTTTGTCTTCTAAACTCTATATATTTGTCCATTTTCCTAGATAATTTACCTAACTCTTGTTGTCTAACATTAATTAGATAAGGACAACTTATTTTGTTAAGAGATGATTTTTTTTTTAATAGAAATTTTGTTAAGAGATGATTGACGGCCAAGATTGAAGTTCATCTCAATAAATATTTTCTACAGTTGTGTATTTTATCGTAACATTCCCTATTATATAGTTTAAAAAGTTTTTACTATTTTAAAATACCTCTTATGATTGTGATTTTTTAGAAATTTGCATCTATTCATTCAAACTTGTATCTTTTCACCATGTTGTTTTCATGTTCATTTCATCAAAACTTCATGTTCTAATAATTTTGTCTTCTATAAATATAGGTGTATTTATTTAAACGGACATGTCTTTCTAACTCTCTATATATATTTTTCCTCTTCTTAGATAACTCCTAAAATTTTATTATTTGACACTGAGTTTTCATTTTATGATGAATCTAAACAATTTAACCTTCAATACGGATGTTATTATATACTCTCCACACTATTTCTTAATTATAGAGACTATGTATACATTACAAAGAACGTTGACCCATTGACTCAGAATATGTTTTTGTTTTTGGTTAAATGGAGGATTAATTTCTCCATTGACGTTGACCCCATTGGTTGAAATTACTAGTAAAAACAGAGCTCATTTATTTCCATACTAATTCCTGGCTATTCCCTCACAATGATGGGTCCTACACTAACAACTAGCAAGGGAGGAGGAAGCTTCCTTCAATGAAACTTCTTTACAAAAATAAAAATAAAAAAATCTAAAAGTCATGAAATTCGAATCAACGAAGCAAACAAATTAGACAGGATTTTTTTAACAAGTCATTAAATTCGAATCAACGAAGCAAACAAGTCACGGAGATTTCAAGGAAAGTAGTGACCAAAATCAAAATCTAAAATTTATACAAAAGTTGTGAAAATAATTACATTGGTGACAGGTGAGCTTGAGAAGCTGGAAATCTCAAAACAAAATCAGCCCTTTTTCTCCAATTTGCATCCGGAAGCTATTGAAAATTTCATTTTTGTTAATCCGTTCATGTTTTGAAAGAAATTGTTTTTTTTTTTTTTTCTTATGATTCCTTTCAAGTAATGTTGAAGGCTATTCGCATAAACAAGGAAAACATTTGTATCAGGTAGACCAAATACCGGATGATTAGCAAGTAGTTTTTTTTTGTTTCGTCGAAATTAATTTATATTGAACTTTGATAATCAGTACAGAGTTTTTGTTCCAACCATGGTGGTGGGTTCATAGTAGCTGAATAAAAATTACAAGTATTACATCCAAATCTGGCAAGCACATGAGCTGCTTCATTACCCGTTAAGTTATTAATAAGGACTTCACAATCACCCTCGAAAATAACTCTTGAATATCCGCTTGCCCAAGTGTGCTGAAGAGCCGCCAAAAGACAACGGGTTTCTGCTTCCAAAGGAGTGGCAGTTTGTGGTGATGCAGAAGTCCAACTTTTTGTTATCCCGCAATGATTAGCAAGTAGTATAAATAGTTATTCGGAAGAAAAAATATACAAAGTTCTGATTTATATATATATATATATATATATATATATATATATATATATATATATATATATATTTTTGGTAGTAGTTCTGATTTATATTTTGTTGTGATCATCATATTTTTGGATGAGTTACATTTTTAAATATTGTAGATTTATATTTGATACGAGTCAAATTAACCTAAGACTACTCTCTCAAATAAAGAGATCGTGTGTAGCACTTTAGGGTCGAATTCCACAAAGCTCTCGTTGTTCACACAATAGATTAACATGTTTTGAATTAAGCTAAACAGAAAATTAGGTAAATTAAAAGACAAAAAACAATTAAAATTGAGTTGTTTAACAGATGGATGAAACGTTAGGCTCAAGTATTTCTCAGGAAATATTAGAATACTAGATCTAGCCATTAGTTAGAAATTATTAAAGAACCGTTCTTAGAACTCAAATCACAAAACTATAATCAACCAACTCTCGTCTGAATTGACTAATTAAAACTCTAAAATCTATCATTACTGTTACAAAGTAAATAATTAAGATATTTCTTATTTCAAATAGCATACTCAAATTTTATTATTTGACATTTTTATTTCTCGATTAGAGTTCTTTATTTTTCGATTAGATATCTTTATTTTTATTTATGATGCTTAGGATATGTTGTTTTGTTTTATTTCAAGTCAATTTATTGTTTTTTGAAGTATTTGTTGGTGTCGGATCCCGCACCAGAAGTACGAGACCAACCAAAGATTGCCACGTAATCAAGATAATAGGCCCATAAAGAATGAAGCCCATCGGACCTAGGAGTCGAAGGGACGGTCGAAGTGATTGTCACCATTTCGACCATCCGAAGTGACTACATTGCGACGTGAGTTCGATGAAGAAGGCATGGGTAAGATGGTTCAAGGATATTTGGGCCAGAAAGGCGAGGCCCGCGAAGATCAGAGTCAACTCAAATTCAAACGTTGAGCATTAAAGTCGAAGAATCAAAACGGACGCATTTAAGAGGGAATAATTGTACTTAATTGTTCGTTTTAATGACAAATTCTCTATGTATAAATATAAAGGCCAATGGCCATGTAAAGGGGACCTTCCTCTCAAGAAAGAAATACTATAGCAATTTTCGTATCAATTTACAAGTTTTTATACGTTCATTTTTGTCCCTCAAGAATAATCTTTCCTTTTTAATAAAATACTTGAGTGTGTGAATCCGACATCCACATTTTGGCGCCGTCTGTGGGGAAGAATCAGGATTCTTGAGTGGTCAGTTTTCTTCTTTTCTACATTTCCGAGATAAGCGACAATGTCTGGAGGAGACGCCGTTGAGACATCATTGGCCGAAACCCTCAAAGCTATGCAGCAAACCATGTCGGACATATCACAAAAGTTCTCGGATGTGGAGAAGGCCGTCGATACGTTGCAAACATCCCAGGTATCTCTTAGTCAAAACGTCAATAATATACAAACTCGTGTTCGCTCTTTAAGTGCAGGAAACCCGGTGGGAACCCGAAGAGGGATATTCAACTCGCCAAGTTCCGCTGCACGAAATGAAACCAGCGGACAAACAACTCCCGGTGCTACTAATAATGTAGCTCAGACGTCGGAAGAAGAGACGCAGCTCGGGGATGAAGAACAACTTGCAGCTCAGTACGAGCAGGAGAACCTCGACCAGTTCGAGACCATGAGGAAGGTTAGCCAGGAATTAAAAGAAATGAAATCAAAATTTCATCAGGCTACAAGTTCGGAGCCAGACATCAATCGAGTCATTGAAGAAGCTAGGCGAACACCTTTTATCCCGCGAATTGCAAGTTTAAGGATCAAAGATTCCCGGAAGCTCAAGTTGGACCCTTACAGCGGATTGGAGGATCCAAAAAGCTATCTTTCAGCCTTTCTGATCGCTGCTGGAAGAGTCGAATTGGATGAAGCTGATGAGGACGCAGGCTATTGCAAGCTGTTTTCGGAGAATCTATGTGGCCAAGCTCTAATGTGGTTCACCCAATTAGAGCCGGGTTCGATCAGCAATTTCGACGAACTATCAGCCGTGTTCTTAAAGCAATACTCTATCCTTATGGATAAAAGTGTTTCAGATGCCGATCTTTGGAACTTAACGCAAGGATCTAATGAGTCACTTAGAGTTTTCATCACCAAATTCAAAGGAGTGCTGTCAAAACTCCCAAGAATCTCACAGCAATCAGCTTTATCTGCCCTACGAAAAGGATTGCGACATGATTCAAGGTTTAAAGAAGACTTAATACTTCATAAACCAGACACAATTCAGGATGCACTCTTCCGCGCAAACAATTGGATGGAGGTAGAAGACGAAAAAGAAAGTTTTGCCAAACGGAATAAACAAGAAAAGCCGGCAATCACCGTCCCTACCAAGAAGTTCGAGCCTAGAGAGAGCAAAGGACCAAGGAAGTTTGGGTCGCAACCTTTCAACAGTACCGTCGGGAAGCAATTCCAAGGGAAAGGAAGATCAAACACTTGGGTCCGTGATGAAAGTCTATATTGCGACATTCATAAAATAACCGGACATTTAACCAAGGATTGCAGCGTTCTTAAAAAGCACCTCGCAGAGCTTTGGGCTAGTGGCGATCTTTCTAAATTCGATATAAAAGATTTTGTGAAGGAATACCACGAAGCAAGGGGAAACTCCAAAGATCAAGATTCCAAAAGACCAAGATTGTCCAACGAGGAAGAACCAAGGAGTTCTAAGGGTAAGATCAATGTGATTCTAGGAGGATCCAGATTTTGCGGAGATTCAATAAGTTCAATCAAAAAGCATCGACGAAATGTCTTACTCAAAGCAAGCTTAAGCGAAGAAGTCGATTTTCAA